GGGAGTGCTCACATCCCCTATTTAAATTCTTATAACGTATTATTATATTATTTTCTTACGCTCTACCTCATACCTGAGGTGTCGCGTTAAAAGCAGACTTTTATCGTACGAAAACCACGTCCGCTAAAGGACGTTGCCAGGCAAAAGCAGGCAAGCAAAAGTTAAACGAAGTAAAAGTTTTTGAAAATAGTGATGGTCCCCAAAGACCATCATATTCAAACAGACCATCACCTATTTAAAAGCATCTTTTCTCTTTTTTTTTTTAAATTTTAGGATTGTTACAATTTAGGAGCACTTTCTTATTAAAATTAGTGACGAGCACTTGTAATTAATACAATCAATGTAGGAGCACTTATAAAATTAGGAGCATAATTAAACTTGAAAGGTGCTCCCACATTGATTGTTTAAAGTTGACACTTTATATAACATTTTAGTTAAGTCCTATTTTATAACGAACTAGTGGACTTACGTGCATTGTATGTCATGGATGGAGAATAAAAAATATTTAATTAAAACAATCAATAATTTGCTTTGAATCTAGGTTATAATGACGGGTTTTATTTCAAATGTCCATCGCTTTTTTGTCTTAGAAAATTATTTTAAAATATTAGATTTAAGAATATTGGAAAAACAAAAGAACATAGATGTAGTTTTTTAAAGGGAAAAGTTTACATAGAGCCGAGGCTCTAAATAATCAAATTAGAGCCTACCCCAAAAATTTTACTAAAAGAGATTGTTTTCATGCCCAAATATCTTAAAATTGATCATCTCGACAGTAGGATGCATGGACATGAGAAAAAAATGGATTTCAAGTTTTGGAAATAATGTATTTTGTAATGCATTTTTGGACTGTCAATTTTCAATATTTTGATAGATCTATAGATCTACACTATTTTTTAAGCTTTAAAATTTATAAACAAAGGTGAAAATATATTTTACAGTGATCATAAAGATTTCCAATATTGAAACCACATCTCTCAACACTATTTGAATATAGAACCTAGGCGCTATACAAACTGCACCCTTTTTTAAAATATCAAAAGTATTATAATCGAAAAACCAAAAAATAGTAATAAATATTTTTTAATCAAAAAAATAAAAGCGAATTTGTCATTTTATAATAACAATTATTCACCATTTGATTTCCTATTTACATAAGAATAACTTTTTAGGGAAATTTATAAAAGAACTTAATTTGGTATTTCAAACAATCCCACATAATTCAAGTCCCATTTTTTGTGTTTTTTTTTTAAAAATTTGCTTCCCACATTACCCGTTGTTTAGTGGAAATCCACCGCTTAAACATTGGTTTTTTTTTTTCATCGAAATACCAGTTCAAACATTGGATGGCCAAACAAGATTTTCTGTAAGTGGTTTGGTTCAAAAAATCTAATGATTGAATCGGTCTTTCACTGAGAAAATGAGCACGACCAAGTTCAAACATTGAATGTCCAAACCAATGGTTTAAAAAGCAGATCGGTGACCCTGATCGGGCACTTTAAAAACCGATACGGATCGACGAATCGGAGATCTGGATCGAGAATTGGCTGAATCGGTCGGATTAAAGCTTCAAAAAAATTCGAAAAAATTATTAAAATTCATTATAAATGTTGTTTTTTAGGAATCCAATAAGAAATGAGGGTACTATATTATTAACTTTCATTGTTTTCATCAATTTATGAATATTGAGATGTTCTTTCCCTGTATCAACTTATGTTGACCATTAAATTTACATCACACAAAATAAATCATAGAATTATCATGGATTAAGTATATAATCATATATGGACTACAATAAAGAGTTGACTAAATCAATGAAAAATTGGCCACTAAAATCTCGAATTGGCGGAAAACCCTAATTCGTTAAAAAAACCCAAATTATTACAACCTAACT